TAACGTCAACAATTCCAAAAAAGCAGAGTGCAAGCTGTTTGCATGTGTATAACGAGTGTCGAGTATTATTTGGCCCCAGTGTCAGTTGCATATTCGATGACTGGCGCTCTGACTGTTAATTAATAAGGAACTTGCTTGTATACTCTTTGGTTATTTCGGTAAAGTCACGTAGGTATAAAATCAAATAAATCACGACGTTTCGGGCGCAACACAAGCGTCCATCATCAGGTGGGAAAGCACGGTCTGCTGTCTGAGGCAGACTGTTTTAAAATGTGTGAAATGGGTGTAGCTCAAGAGTTATAAAGAAGTGGCCGGGGCTGGTGATGTTAATGTGAGAAATTAGCATGCAACTTTAAGATAGGAAGCGGCCTCCTCGACGAGGGCACGGAAGTGGCTATGTTCATGTAAGAGATTTAATCCCCTCTGTAAAGGATGTGATTCCTGACATGCAATTACCTGGTGTCTACAAACTGAGTTGTGGTTGCGGCAGCAGTTACATTGCAGTCACGAAAGCTTCAAATCAAGATTGAACTTGTTTGTGTTCAAAACTGTCTGTGCGTGTCTGGTTGGATAGTGCGTGACACACATCCGTTACATGCGAGGCAGTAAGGTTGGCTTCTGCCACTGTGTATTCCGAATCAATCTTACGCGAGGCAAATCAAGTATTAAAATAAATGACAAATACCTTCCAGAGCGGCAAAGCAAGCAACCACTCCTACAGCATACAGCACACTGTACAGTATAACCAAACTTAGAAAAGGTTTTTTTTGTCAGGACAAATACAATACTTTGTTTTATTACGGCCCAATGTCAATCCACTGATGGATGAGGGCCTCGTCATTTCTGGGCTAGCTGTGTGTGTGTTCGTTGTAGCTGTTGCGATGTTGTCACACACGGCGCGCGTGTGAGTGAACGTGAACCCTACCAATGCGGTGATGAAGATTGGCCCTCCCCTTGATGATTAAAATCACCGAGCTGCTGTGTTTCCCCTCCGTTGTCAGGGCTGCGCGTGACATCAACACTCCAGCACCTTTGAACAAAGCACACAGAGACACACAAAAACAAAGATCTCCTGTATAGCCTTAACATACTTTTTAGGGCAAGTGCTGTTAGCGAGCACTTATGAAGGCCGGCACGGCACACGACGGGGTGGGTGGCCAGCAACACGCCCGGCCGCCTTTGTCTCCCCAATGGAGATGTTTACACATCGCACCAGGTAATCATTTGAGGCTGAGTCGACCTAGGGGACGCCCAGTTCCGGTTCCGCTAATTATCGTCACTGGTGTTGGCCCTGAGTGGGAATCGAACTCGCGTCGCCGGGTTCGTAGTGCAGAGCGCTAACCACTGCGACACCGCTCCCCATTGCATATATGCACAGGCACACGGAGACACACACTGGACTTATATTCAAACGTGTACATATCTCGTTCATTCATTCACATGCACTCCATGTCCATCATCAATATCCGTCTCTCTCGTTGGAATTTTGGGTAAATGTCTGGCGTTCACTGCCAAACTGCAAAAATTAAAGGCTGCGCAGTCGATTTTCAAACCCATGGCCTCGCTATGAAAGTCGATCATCGTGGCCGAGTGACAGTGTCTCCCCTTCTTCAACGACGAGTGTCAGGTGGCCCTGAGCCGGTGGTGGACATTCCACATCCCCATGGCAGGGCCCAGTCTCTCTCTCTAAGCCAAGACTCATCAGGCGCGTCCTGCATTGGGATTTAAAAAAATAATTTACCCGGATGATGGTGTGCGTATACGTTGAGAGAGTAGGTGTGTGTATACGTATGTTTATGTATATGTACGTGTGCACACGTGCGTGCATACGTGTGTGTGTGTGCGTGCGTCTATGCATAGGCCGACTCAGCCTCAATTGAGTACCGAGTATCAAGTCCCCCCACAACACGTGTCAAGTCCCCCCACAACACGTGTCACGCTCTCCACAACACGTGCCAAGTCCCCCCACAACACGTGTCACGCCCCCCACAACAGGTGTCACGCTCTCCACAACACGTGTCACGCTCTCCACAACACGTGTCAAGTCCCCCCACAACACGTGTCACGCCCCCCACAACAGGTGTCACGCTCTCCACAACACGTGTCACGCTCTCCACAACACGTGTCAAGTCCCCCCACAACACGTGTCACGCTCTCCACAACACGTGCCAAGTCCCCCCACAACACGTGGCAAGTCCCCCCACAACACGTGTCACGCTCTCCACAACACGTGCCAAGTCTCCCCACAACACGTGCCAAGTCCCCCCACAACACGTGGCAAGTCCCTCCACAACACGTGTCACGCTCTCCACAACACGTGCCAAGTCCCCCTACAACACGTGCCAAGTCCCCTCACAACACGTGCCAAGTCCCCCCACAACACGTGCCAAGTCCCCCCACAACACGTGCCAAGGCCCCCCACAACACGTGGCAAGTCCCCCCACAACACGTGCCAAGTCCCCCCACAACACGTGCCAAGTCCCCCCACAACACGTGCCAAGTCCCCCCACAACACGTGTCAAGTCCTCCCACAACACGTGTCACGCCCCCCACAACACGTGCCAAGTCCCCCCACAACACGTGTCAAGTCCCCCCACAACACGTGTCAAGTCCCCCTACAACACGTGTCAAGTCCCGACCACAACACGTGTCAAGTCCCCCTACAACACGTGCCAAGTCCCCCCACAACACGTGCCAAGTCCCCCCACAACACGTGCCAAGTCCCCCCACAACACGTGTCACGCTCTCCACAACACGTGTCACGCTCTCCACAACACGTGTCAAGTCCCCCCACAACACGTGGCAAGTCCCCCTACAACACGTGTCAAGTTCCCCCACAACACGTGTCAAGTCCCCCTACAACACGTGCCAAGTCCCCCCACAACACGTGTCACGCTCTCCACAACACGTGTCACGCTCTCCACAACACGTGTCAAGTCCCCCCACAACACGTGTCAAGTCCCCCCACAACACGTGTCAAGTCCCCCCACAACACGTGCCAAGTCCCCCCACAACACGTGCCAAGTCTCCCCACAACACGTGTCAAGTCCCCCCACAACACGTGTCAAGTCCCCCTACAACACGTGTCAAGTCCCCCCACAACACGTGTCACGCTCTCCACAACACGTGCCAAGTCCCCCCACAACACGTGTCACGCTCTCCACAACACGTGCCAAGTCCCCCCACAACACGTGTCACGCTCTCCACAACACGTGTCACGCTCTCCACAATACATGTCAAGTCTCCCCACAACACGTGTCAAGTCCCCCCACAACACGTGCCAAGTCCCCCCACAACACGTGCCAAGTCCCCCCACAACACGTGCCAAGTCCCCCCACAACACGTGTCAAGTCTCCCCACAACACGTGTCAAGTCCCCCCACAACACGTGTCAAGTCCCCCCACAACACGTGTCAAGTCCCCCCACAACACGTGCCAAGTCCCCCCACAACACGTGTAAAGTCCCCCCACAACACGTGTCAAGTCTCCCTACAACACGTGTCACGCTCTCCACAACACGTGCCAAGTCCCCCCACAACACGTGTCAAGTCCCCCCACAACACGTGTCAAGTCCCCCCACAACACGTGCCAAGTCCCCCCACAACACGTGTCAAGTCCCCCCACAACACGTGCCAAGTCCCCCCACAACACGTGCCAAGTCCCCCCACAACACGTGTCACGCTCTCCACAACACGTGTCACGCTCTCCACAACACGTGTCAAGTCTCCCCACAGCACGTGTCAAGTCCCCCCACAACACGTGCCAAGTCCCCCCACAACACGTGCCAAGTCCCCCCACAACACGTGCCAAGTCCCCCCACAACACGTGTCAAGTCTCCCCACAACACGTGTCAAGTCCCCCCACAACACGTGTCAAGTCCCCCCACAATACGTGTCAAGTCCCCCCACAACACGTGCCAAGTCCCCCCACAACACGTGTCAAGTCCCCCCACAACACGTGTCAAGTCCCCCCACAACACGTGTAAAGTCCCCCCACAACACGTGTCAAGTCTCCCTACAACACGTGTCACGCTCTCCACAACACGTGCCAAGTCCCCCCACAACACGTGTCAAGTCCCCCCACAACACGTGCCAAGTCCCCCCACAACACGTGTCAAGTCCCCCCACAACACGTGTCAAGTCCCCCCACAACACGTGCCAAGTCCCCCCACAACACGTGTCAAGTCCCCCCACAACACGTGCCAAGTCCCCCCACAACACGTGCCAAGTCCCCCCACAACACGTGCCAAGTCCCCCCACAACACGTGTCAAGTCCCCCCACAACACGTGCCAAGTCCCCCCACAACACGTGCCAAGTCCCCCCACAACACGTGCCAAGTCTCCCCACAACACGTGTCAAGTCCCCCCACAACACGTGCCAAGTCCCCCCACAACACGTGTCAAGTCCCCCCACAACACGTGCCAAGTCTCCCCACAACACGTGCCAAGTCCCCCCACAACACGTGCCAAGTCCCCCCACAACACGTGTCAAGTCCCCCCACAACACGTGCCAAGTCCCCCCACAACACGTGTCAAGTCCCCCCACAACACGTGCCAAGTCCCCCCACAACACGTGCCAAGTCCCCCCACAACACGTGCCAAGTCCCCCCACAACACGTGCCAAGTCCCCCCACAACACGTGTCACGCTCTCCACAACACGTGTCAAGTCCCCCCACAACACGTGCCAAGTCCCCCCACAACACGTGTCAAGTCCCCCCACAACACGTGCCAAGTCCCCCCACAACACGTGTCACGCTCTCCACAACACGTGTCACGCCCTCCACAACACGTGTCAAGTCCCCCCACAACATCGCCACTGGGGAGACAAAGGCGGTCGGGCGTGGCGCTGGCCACCCACCCTCTCAGTGTGCCGTGCCAGTGTTCACAAGCGCTCGCTTACAACACTTGCCCCAACAGTCTATTGAAGGTTTTACGGGAGGGGGGTCTTTGTGTGTGTCCGCTTGCACTGTTTGGCATGGCCTGACTCGATGTTGAGCAAACACGATAGCGGCCGCGAAAGGCTCCTTTACCTGCAATCTGTGGTGTCTCCTAGCAACCCGGCTGTGTGTGTGTGTGCGTGCGAGTGGAACCACAGTGGCTGAGGGCGCTAGAGGCGGGGGAAGGTGGATCGCGCGTGCCGACTCGAGCCTGCCAGACGCGGCTTCAGCTAATGACCGCCACGCACATCATCCTATCGTCGCCGGAGAGAATGTAAACTTCGGAAGCCTTGTCAGGAGCCTCGCCTAAGGTCGACTCAGCCTTGAGTGAGTACCGGGTCGTCTCACGCACGCAGTGGAGAGCGGTGCTGTTTCTCGCCACGGTGGCGAGATGTTAACCACCTCGCCTGATATGCAGGAGGTCGTGGGTTCGATCTCGACCCTGAACGACCGTGTATTTGGAATTTGGATGTGCTCCTCGTGGTCGCGTAGATTTTTCTCCGAGTCCTCCGGTTTTTTCCTCCATATGTAGAATCAAAATGCCTTTAGATTGTTCTGCTGCTCTGAATGTCCACGTGATAATCCACTTCTTTGGGCTATAATTTGTGGTCGCCAGGTCGCTTCTGAAAACAAGCTATACAGCTCAGTGGGCCTTACCTGGTGACATAAAAAAAATGTTTTTTGATGTTTTATTTTTACCACTGCGCTCTGATCTCAGAGGTCCTGGTTTTTTTTCCTGGCCATGCTGCACAACAGGCTTTGATGCGTTTCCCTTGAGCGTGATGTGGATTTCTTCACAATCGGAACGTCACAAGGTGAATTACTGGTTGGGCATCAACTCAGCCCATCATCACCATCATCATTACCGCCATCATCATTACGGGTCGTTAAAATAATCACCGTTTTTCATCTAGAAAGTAAACAGCAGTCTTCCTATGGACTTCCTGGCTCCTGCCATCGGAATGTGGACTTTCCACCACCGGGCCCAACTATAGATGAGAGCCACCTCACCTTTCCGGACCTCCGATTAGCACGGTTGGCTACGTACGGTGCGAAAGAAGTTCAACGTACGTGCGCACACTCCTGTGTGAGGAGGAGACACACTCCAGGCTTTGCTTCATTGTGTTGTGGGAAATGTCTATTTCTTTATATGTATTGTGTGTTTGTATGTTATTGCCTGGCTCTGTGGCTCTACGGCAGGGGCGGGGAAACTTTTTCTGCCAAGGGCCATTTGGATATTTATAGCATCATTCGCGGGCCATACAAAATTATCACAAAAAAATGTGCCTGTTATATTTGGTCAAACATTTAATGAACTCACCCCCAATGTGATGGCTGGAACTGCTTGTCTTTGGCGAGGCGTGTGATGTTAGCTGGTATTGACGATGTTGCTGCTACTCACAACTGCTTTTCCAGGTTTGCTTCTAGATTTATTGAATTTCGAGTCCCGTCTGCGGTTGCCTTGGCAGGGCCACACCAAATGATTTCGCTGGCCTCATACGGCCCGCGGGCCGGACGTTACCTACCCCTGCTCTAGGGCACGACCGCAGTCAATGTTAAGGATTGTGAGTGTGTTCTGTCTAACAGAAAATTCTCTCAAATTGTTTTGCCACACGGACCATTCGGCCGATGTAAACATTCCTGCGAACCACACAGCCCCACAAAACACATTCACTTCTTTCGAAACACCAGTCATACAAAATTAGTCATATTCCCGGAACATAATTTTTGTTTTATTAAATGCAAGCAACGTATTCATTCATATCCGAAATAAAAGGTCGTTATTGGCGGATCAACCTGAATTTACATCGCAGCTAACCGCGGACCATCTGGAGGACCGTCACGGTCCGCTGGTGGTGTGCGGACCACTCTCTGAGAACCACTGCTCTAGTCTGTCTCTGTGAGCCTCAGGCCTCACCACGGAAGCCTGTGAATCCTCGCGGTGTATTATTCAGTCCCTCTCTCACATGGATGGGCTGCATACCTCATGGTTGGTAAGTGTGTCCTAGCCACGGGGGGCAGTTACAATGTGACGCGAGTCTTTGCCTCCACGGCGTTGAGCCTTGCTGTGGCTGGGTTCTGTTCGACACGGCGTCTCGCAGTGCCAGGGGAAGCTGTCGTAGTATAACGGAGAGCGTCACACCCGACTTGGAATCAGGAGATGGGCCGGTTTGCTCTCCCGGTGCAGCAGTTGAATCATCATCGGTGCAAGTTGGTTATAGCTACTATTTTACTAATACTTTCGTTATAATTTTACCAGGTAAGGTCTACTGAGCTATATAGCTCGTTTCAGAAGCGACCTGGCCACAAATGATAGCTCAATGAAGTGGCTTATGTGAACATTTAGAGCAGCCAAATGCTGTGAACGCGTGATGTTGAGTCGAAATGTGGAGGGGAAAAACCGGAGGACCTGGAGAAAAATCTACGCAACCACGGCGAGAGAGAGACGCAAACTCAAATTATACAACGGGCGTCAGGGTGGGATCGAACCCACGATCTCCTGCATACCAGGCGAGGTAATTAACATCTCCTAGCCACCGTGGTGATGATGAGAGAGAGAGAGAGACATGCAAACTCCAATTATACAACGGGCGTCAGGGTGGGATCGAACCCACGACCTCCTGCATACCAGGCGAGGTAATTAACATCTCCTCGCCACCGCGGCACCCCAGATCACGTGTGGTGAGCCACAGTGTGGGTGACTGTCACGTCTTCCACGACTTCTGGCGGCCAGTGTGGACGAATCGCGAAGGCCCCTTTACCACAACGAGTGGCCTGAGCATGGTTGTCGCATCGCCTCCATCCTCACGCTGCCTGGACTTGCCCTGCGACAGCGCTAAGCACACAGCCCACCCCACGCTGCGCGTAACAACAGCCGGCAGCGGGGCAGTGTGAACGGTGCCGTAGGGCTTAGAGGCACCGTGACCCTTCCGCGCTCGCTGCCTGCCATGTGCTCAGCGTGTCCCCCGTCACTAGGGATTAGCGCCGCGTCGTTGGGTCCACTGTTGGGGAGGGAGCTGAGGGTCGTCAGGGATGTTGTGCAACGGATTCGTCTGTGAACGTTGATTCCCAAGGCTCACGGTGCAAGCGACGAGTTACTCGTCAACTCCGGCGTCAGTCTACTAGCGACCCGGACAATATTGAATGAAAAATTGAGGCCTGAAAATGATGCAAGCGACATGTCCAACACAACACAATGCTGGGGGACTTGACACGTGTTGTGGAGGGCGTGACACGTGTTGTAGGGGGACTTGACAGGGTCGTGAAGCATCGTTAGCGACGAGAGTGCGCGTTCTCAAGCGGAATCTGGTGGGGTCCCTGAGCCTCGCCACCACCGTGAACTCATGGGGTGGGCACTGGGGCACGACCGCTTTACATGAAGCCAGGCGGTGTCCCGGCACACTTCAGACCCCGCGAGGACGCGGGCGGGTGACACGTGAAGTGGCTTTTTATCGCAGGCTTACAGCGTGCTGTCCAATGAGCACCTCAGCCAGTTCGGACTGCAATTCATCACGAGTTAATGGGCGCACCCTTTCTTGGCACGGCAGCGCAAGCGCGTGACCGCTTCTAATATATCAGGATATTCGGAAAGGCACTGGGTGCTGTGCAATTTCAAATGTAGATCGAAAACTCACTTCTTTAGAACTGCTTTTTGTGTTTAGTGTTGCTGTTGTTCCCCCCCCCCCCCGCACCTCAGATTAGCACAGTTGACTACGTACGGTGCGAAAGAAGCTTAACTTACATACATACACAGACAAAGGTCCTCCGTATGTCCTGGTCGGGTAAGTGCTGTTTAGCGATTAGCACCTATGAAGGACGGCACTACACGCACTCATACACACAGTCGCCCTTTCAGATGCCCTTCTGCGGCCGTCTGGAACGCTCTTCCTTCCGATATAAAGAAGCTCCTGGAGCTATCCACTTTAAATAATCTAGATCGAAAACGAATTTCTTTAAGAACCGCTTTTAGTGCTTAGTGCTGTTGTTGTCCTTCGCCCCCCGCACCTCCGATTAGCACGGTTGGCTACGTACGGTGCGAAAGAAGTTAAACACATACAGCTGAAATCTGGTTCACATAGCAGAGGGACAGCACTCACATAGCCGCTTTGCCGTATGAGAGCAATGTTCATCGTATGCCAGTCAAACAAACACAGTTGTGGTAAAACTTTGCCAAATGCGGCTTTGTCGAATGCGTGTTTCAGCGAAACCAGCTCAACACGCGCACAAATCAGGGTTCGTGGCAACAAAGTGGTAATGCTCGGCTATTTTGTAACAATTGTCATATTTCATAGCCATTCGACTGGCTCATGTCACAGTTGGGGTTTTTTTTAGTGTGCGAGTTCTCCTCGCTCGTGCATTACCGAAGAAAGAAGACAAATGGCAGGGAGAGAGATCCAGAGGATTGCGAACAGTTTGATAACAAACCAAAGAAATCATGAAAGTTTGCGTTAATCCCAGAACGCACGCGGTGGCTGCCAGGATGTCTCCACGGCTCGTGGATCTCTCTCGCGCGCGGAGCAACTTGATTCTCCAGCGACGGTGAAGCGACGTGAGCAGCGAGCGAGCGGTATGAGGAGCGACACAGAGAGAGACAGAGGAGTTATTTTGGGCTCGGGGGATGACAGCCGCGGGCTACTGATGGTGACGAGGAGCCAAGATCATTAGACGCCCTGGACGTTGCTTCCCGTCAGTCTCGAGGGCATTTCTCACTTGCGCGCTGTATGTGAGAAATGCAGCGGTAAGCGCTATGCTGCGCTACGAACTAGGCGGTTCGAGTTCGATTCCCCGCTCATGACGATTATCTGAACCGGTTCTGGGGCTCCCCTAGGTCGACTCAGCCTCAAATGAGTACCTGGCGCAGTATGTAAACATCGCTACTAGGGGTGACAAAGGCGACCGGGCGTGCTGCTGGACACCCATCCTCTCGTGTGCCGTACCAACCTTCACAGGTGCTCGCAAACAGCACCTGCCCCAACAGTCTGTTAAATTCTATATGGGGGATCTTTGTTTTTGTCTGGCCAGATCTTCTCAGCGAGGAGTGGCGAGGAGCGAGGGACCATGGAGATAGCTTCCAACCACACAGGCCTGCCTCTGGGTACGTATCTCTCCCACACTCTACGGGACGTCTGGAAAAAAAACACATGACCAAGCTGTGGAGTGTCCACAATTCTCTGGCACGTGTCGTGACGGGCACTGCAAGATCCGACCGTGTCCGTCCAGTGCTCGACGAGCTGCATTGGAATCCGGTTGCCAAACGAATATATTATATTATGAGGTCGCACTCAATATACACAAAGTGCTTGCAACAAATGAACCACAGTACATTGCTGATCTCGTCGAGGAGCATGAACCATTATCACGCGAACTCCGGTGGTCATCCTCGCAGCAGCGGCTTTTGGCTCGCCGTCGAACAAAGACGGTCACCGCATCGCGCACACTTTCAGATGCGCTTCTGCGGCCGTCTGGAACGCTCTTCCTCCCGAGATTAGGAGGCCACGGGTGCTATGCACTTTTGAACATAAATTGAAAACGAATTTCTTTAGAACTGCTTTGTTGTGTTTAGTTTGTCCCCCCCCCCCGTAACCTCCGATTATCCAGGGTTGGCTACGTACGGTATGAAAGAAGTTCCAACATGCAGTAACATACACACACGCGCCTTCTCCATCATCACCACCAACCACCGCCACCGCATGGCTGTCTGTGTGTGCCCGTCCCTTTGTTAGCGCGCCTTCTTCTATAGCAGGGGTGGCCAAACCTGCCGACTCTCTACGACCCACAAAACCAGCATCTTCCACCCAAATCGTCCAAAATCGCGTGACGTCATTTGTAAACGGCCCCTAAACAGAGATGGGCATGGTGTGTATACAAAGAGACAGAGTCATGTCAATCGCTTTTTTCCATAAGGTGAGAGAAATTAAACACCGGAGATTAACTTTTCGAGTTTTTTTTTCATTGCAAAATTAGCAAAGAAACATCTTCAAGTGGGGGTTTTCGCACAATCAAGCAGAGTGACAGCAGCGGTCGTGGTAACCATGGGGGCAGCATCAGTGGGAGAGAGTCATCACTGAAGGCGTACAAAACAGGGCCTACAAGAACCTTAATCCGGCCCTGGGCACAACTTCCGATTACAACGTGACGGGGGGGGGGGGGGGGGGCTATGCAAGATCTGCAAGTCCCCCTCATTTCTCCCGACTCACTTTGACTGAAATAGCTACGGAAATTTGTGTTAACCCCGTATAACCATAATATGTTAGGCTGTAACAAAAAAATGTTATTTTAGTCGCACCGTGTATTGGATTTAGAAGAAGACAGTCTCACAGTGGCGTATTAATATTAAAGATTCAAAGGTACAATGCGACTCACAATGAAGTTGTCGTGCATCGTGCTTTCATCCCAGCCCCATCGGTCTAGGATTTCCTCAAAGTGGGTGGATCGCGCAACTTTATTGCTGCTCCATTGCTACGATAGCCAGATGCCTTAATCATCGGGCTTGGTCCATGGCAGTAGACCGCAGCAAATGTTGTTGAATATTTTTTCAAAATGTTTTACTTGTTTATATCTGTTCATTCGGGGCCCACCTTGTGGCCAATTGGGCCCCTGTGCGTCGCGTAACGCTACCGCATCACATATCCCCCCATCGCATCATAGTTGTGCCCCTGCTTCCACATGATACCGATAGTCATCCGCGAGACAACACAATCGTCGGGGGTGGCCACACGGCCGGATCCACTCATGCTGGCCGGCTGTGGAGTTTTTAATTTAGAAATCCGTGGTCGTGCCACCCCCCATCTACGCCCCGTTAGTAGCCGTGACAGCGGGGCCAGGGGGCCACCGGGACCGTTCTCCGGTGCCAAAAATCAAGATACGGGTCAATGATAAATTCAAGTTACAAACATTCTCTGCTTCTCCAAATGAGCCTCGCTTGAAACGTCGTGGCCACGCCCGCATGACGATCGTTCGTCCCGGCCCTCCCCGGCCCTCCCTGGCCCGGGTGCCCCCTGGCGCAGGGGAGAGGCCGCTGGCCCCGTTTTTCGGTCGAACGGGACCAGCGCCCGTCCCATGCGCCCGCGCTCCTCATGTGATCGCAGAAGCTAAACAAGAGGCTCGCGCCTGGACAGCGTTTGGATGGGGGTGGGTGACCGCGACACTTAACGGATTATTACAGGCGGCTAACTGCTGCTGTAAGACTGCCTTTTTGGGGCAGCAGAGGGCAGTGCAGCAAAAAAAAAAGTATAGTACTCTACTTCTGTGCTTCCCGCCTGCACCACCCCGCCACCCCGCTCTTGAGCGGCGTGGTGAAGCATGGTCAAGTAACCCCAACGGCTTTTATCCAGCAGTGCATCGACACACGTGGGTTGTGCGAGCGTGCGTTCCTGAAGCTATCGAAACTCCTCTGACGGTGCCCGCGTGAATCGCTTACGAGCGACATTGCGGATAACAGGCGGGTGAAGGAATAAATGAATGATTGAGTGATTGAACGAATGACAACGTCGCTCGTGTTCCCGAGCAGGCATCCCGGAGCGAGCGAGCGCCCAGAGGCGCCGCAAGGAGGTGTACCGCCAGGAGCTGCTCCAGCAAATGGGACAGCAGGCGAGCAACCGGAGGAAGTGAGCCATCAGCACCATCACCAACAACAACATCAGCACCACCACCAACAACAACATCAGCACCACCAACAACAACAACATCAGCACCACCACCAACAACAACATCAGCACCACCACCAACAACAACATCAGCACCACCACTAACAACAACATCAGCACCACCAACAACAACAACATCAGCACCACCAACAACAACATCAGCACCACCACCAACAACAACAACATCAGCACCACCAACAACAACATCAGCACCACCACCAACAACAACATCAGCACCACCACCACCAACAACATCAGCACCACCACCACCAACAACATCAGCACCACCAACAACAACAACATCAGCACCACCAACAACAACATCAGCACCACCAACAACAACATCAGCACCACCACCAACAACAACATCAGCACCACCAACAACAACATCAGCACCACCAACAACAACAACATCAGCACCACCAACAACAACATCAGCACCACCAACAACAACATCAGCACCACCAACAACAACAAAATAAGACACAGATTCCCATGTGTAGCCTTAACAGGCTGTTGCATACCTGTCCACCCCTTGTCAGTGCCCTACCTTATTACAGACCAATTCGGACCTTATTGGTCACCCCGTGCCCTTTATACATCCCAACGTTCATCATACAAAGTTCCCATCGCAAGGAAGAAACACAAACAAATAGACAAAAGTTACGTGACTAAACAAAAACTGTTTTACGTATTAATTTTGATAATTAATTGGTGTCAAGAAGGGTACTTATCATGCTACCGTCTGTGATCTTGCATGCTGATGATACCACTTGCTTGATATGAGGATGCACACACTCATGTTGTAAATGTACAACAATGGCCACAGAAAATAATGAAGGATTTAACAATACACTGCTATCACTAATGTACATCTCAATCCTGTTTGTATAAGGTTCAGGGAACCCTCAACAGAAATGCTTTACAGAATCATTGTCATCAACACAGGTGTTGGTGACAACACAGGTGTTAGTGACTACACAGGTGCTGTCAACACAGGTGTTGGTGACAGTAATTTGGCTGGTGTCGGCTGCAACGGGGATCTCTACTCTGTAGAGTAAAATAAATACAAATCTGGATCACAACTATTTTTCTTTGATTTCGCCGTATGATTGTTTTGTTTGCCCGTATTGAAACGGCTGTACGCCGTATGGACCATGAAAACTCAATTTCCTTGTTACAAGAATACGGGGTAAACTGTACGGGTTGACACGGTATGCTGTTGGGCCAAGTGCCGTTAGCCAGTCGCTACCGATGAAGGCCGGCAAGGCACACGAGGAGTGAGGGTGGCCAGCACCACGCCCGCCCGCGCCGCCTTTGTCTCCCCAAGTGGCGATGTTTGCACACCACACCTGATACTCATTTGAGGCTGAGTCGACCTAGGGGAGGCCTAGGATCCAGTTCAGATCATCGCTATCACTGGTATTGGTGGCTGGAGTTCATAGCGCAGCGTAGCGCTAACTGCTCGCACCACCGCTCCCCATGTAATGCTCCTGACCCAACAAAAACAACCGCCGTTCGCTACGAAGTGACAGTGACGCTACCACGGCGCTTGTGCCAGGCTAGGTGCACGTTAAGGCCACGCGAAGTGTCGAACTGCCCGCTGGCCGGAGGTCACGGGGCAGACCCAGCGGGTGCCACGTGGATCGACTGACTGAGATGACTACTGGCCGATGCACCGCCCGTGCTCTCTACCGTGCCTCCTGACTCTCTTTCCCACTCGCTCGCCACTCACAACTCACTGACAGCTCCCACTCGCGTGCTCTCTCCCCCTCTCTCTTCGCTGGTGGCGTGCGCGCCGGGCGTGGTTTGCAGAGAGAAGGAGTTCGACCTGAAGGTGGCCGCGTCTGGAGCAGTTGACCCTGAAAAAGAGGTGCGGTGTCGTATTGCACTCACCGTGCTGTCACTTCGCGTTGTACCGGACGACTGTGCATCGCATTGCAATGCATTGCATTGTTCCATATTCGATTGCATATCACATCGCGTTGCGTTGTACCAGACTGCTGTGCATTGCAATGCATTGCACTCTGTATTGCAATGTATATCACATCGCGCTCTGTGTAGCCTTACTCTCCACCAGTGGTTCTTCCCCTTTGCTGCAGCCTTGCAACCCATTTGGTTGTCAATCGTAAAAAAAGGTACAATATTAATAAACACACCGGGTTTGGTGAAACAAAGTAAGCTGTCACTTACGTGCCCGTGCTTTATTTGTGTTTTTCGATGATTAACCTTCTAAACAAAAATCCGGCTGTGTCTCGCACCCCCCACCCCCCAGAAAGGGCATCACGCACCTCCAATAGGATGCGTGCACCCCAGCTTAAAAAGAACCGCTGCCCTCCGCTGTATCGTTCTGCACCGTATCACGTCGCGCTGTACTACACCGCTGTGAAATTGTATTGCACCCCCCACCCCCCCTTCTTCCACCCCCCGACCAGCCCGGGCGTCTTCGGGAGTTCTCCGCCGTGGTTCGCGAGCCGCTCCGGAGCCGCGTGCGCCCGGGGGGCCGCGTGGTCGCTGAGTCGGGACCTCCGCTCGGCCGGGCCGCCCCTCATGCCTGGCACCGCGACGGGGGACATGGGCAGCGGCCGGACGAGGTCCCCGGAGCGGGAGGAGGAGGAGCAGGAGGGGGAGCAGGAGGGGGAGCAGGGGATGAGTTCAGGGGATCTGGAGGCCCGAACCCCTTCATGTCTTGGGACATGCTCGCTCTCATGATGTCTCCCCGGTGAGCTGCCCGCCCATTCGATCCACTCGATGGTTTTCCTTTTTCCTCCGTTTGCCTTTGCCTCTTCCTCCCGATTGTGTCCCGAATGTGCCATCGCTGATAGCGTCATCACACAAACAATCCCTTGCAATCTCGCTCGAGGCAGGCGCGACCATTTTGCGTTTGAGTGGTTGCTTGTAGTGGTGGTTGTTGTAGCGGTGGTGGTTGTTCTGGTGGTTGTTGTAGAGCGGTGCTGGTTGTGGTAGCCGTGGTTGTTGCGGTGGTTGTTGTGGTTGTTGTAGCGGTGGTAGTTGCGGTGGTTGTAGTGGTTGTTGTGGTGGTTGCTGTAGCGATGGTTGTTGCGGTGGTTGCAACGGTTGTTGTGGTGGTTGTAATGGTGGTGGTTGCGGTGGTTTGATGTAGCGGTGGTGGTCGCGGCGGTTGTTGTGGTGTTGATTGTAGCGGTGGTGGTTGTGTTGGTTGTTGTAGCGGTGGTGGTCGCGGCGGTTGTTGTGGTGTTGATTGTAGCGGTGGTGGTTGTGGTGGTTGTTGTAGCGGTGGTGGTCGCGGCGGTTGTTGTTGTGGTGTTGATTGTAACGGTGGTGGTTGCGGTGGTTGTTCTACAGTGCCGCGGCCCCACATCCGGCGCCACCGCCTCCACTCATGATGGACAGCACGCGGACCCCGTACGACGAGGCCTACTTCTTCTATGGGGCCCACGACCCCCTGGACCCCAGCCTGACCCACCGTAAGGCCTGCACCCCCGGCGTCGCCCCCTCACCGCACCGCTTGGAGCCAACCGTGTTGCTGGGAGGCTCGGCCAAAGACAAGACGCGTCGCCTCTTTTCCACTGCCGTGTCCGTGCCGCTGAGCCGGCACCGTGACGGTTATTTTCCGCTGGCCGTTTGCCGAGCTGAGCCAGAACTAAAACCACAGTGCAGTGGCCTCACGAGACCCCGCCGTGGGGATGAGATGTTAACTGCCTCGCCTGGTATGCAGAAGGTCGGGGGTTCAAGACCGACCCTGACGCCTGCTGTGTGTTTGGAGTCTGCTTGTCTCTCTCCCCGTGGTCGCGTGGATTTTTCTTCACTTCCTCCGGATTTCCCTCCACAATTTAGAATCAACATCACACCTTGAGAGTATTCAGCTGCTATACATTGATAAGCCACTTCGTTGAGCCATCATTTGTGGCCAGGTCGCTTCTGAAAAAGAGCTACGTAGCTCAGTGGGACTTATCTGGTAAAATCACAGAAATAGCTTTAGTTTAATTCGATGCCACGAGACGTCCGACACATCAGGGGGCAGGGTTAACCTTCTTCGTCGCTCAGATGCGCCTTGCCTCGTGCGTCTCCGTACGACGTAAGTTGCAGCGACTCGCGCTCCGCAGTGGAAAGTCGACCTCCAGAGCCGCACGGCCCCGGAGCAGTTCGCTTGTGCAGTGGAAAAGAGGCGATGGTGAGCTGGGAACCCTTCCCACGGAGATGAGCTTCAGGCACACCTGTGTGAGAGGGGAGGCCCCCCCGTGACCAACTGACACCCGGCACCACCCAACACCACCCGGCACCACCCGGCACCACCCAGCACCACCCCACGGTGGCGACGTCACCCCTCGCCACCGTCGCTCTCCGGCGATCGGCGCCTGCTGCTGCTGCTGTTGTCGTCTTTCGTCAGGAGGGCGCCCGTTCGGGGTTCAGCACTCGGCGGACGACCTCGCCCCGTACAGGCATCGTCAGCAGGGTCCGGGCGCCTCTGTGGCGGTGCCGGGGCCCCAGAGAGTCACGGCGGTCAGGTGAGGTCGCAGGATGAATGCGCGTGTCAAATTCAACCTGTGCCATTACATGCGAGGGACCCCACCCCGGGGGGGAATCAATCGGCCCCGCGATTTGAATTCGCCGCCAGCGCATTTACGCACCGCCGTCTGGCGGTTGAAATCTGATTCTGTAAATGAACGAAGGGAAATGCCGATTAGCATTTTTAGCATGCGGCTGCCAGCTGCAGGCTGGAGTGGCGCCGTCAACGGATTTAAAATCTCACCCTCCCCCCTCCCCACTACGTGTGCCGGGCTCCATGGACTGACCCGGAGTGGCTCCCAGGATGCACCGCACGTTGCGATGTGCCTGGGGGTCGCGGGGGTCACGGTGGTTGTGGTGAGGTGAGGGGACTCTGGCTGGGCTGGCGCGTCGTGGGCGGTTGCTGTGATCGTGCACCTGACCGTCAATTGCTGAAGGCCGTGTCTTAAAGGTCACCGGCATTGGTTCAAGTGAGCCTGACGAGGCACCGGTCCAGAATTTGCTTGTGTTGAACCAGTGCTAGTGAGATCATGCACTCTCAGAAGGGTGGGAGTTCATGTTAAAAAATATCTATTTTTTAAATGTGTCGGTACATAGATATGCGAGGAGGCGGTTGTGTAATGGTTAGTGTGCTTCGCTACGAATCCGCTGAACTGAGTTCGATTTCCGCTCACGGCCACCAACACCAGTGACGACTATCTGAACCGCTCCTAGGCCTCCCCTAGGATGACTCAGCCTTAAATTAGTACCTGGCATGGTGTGTAGTTAATATTGCCACTGGGTAGACAAAGGCAGCCCGGTGTGATGCTGGCCGCCCACCCGCTCGTGTGCCGTGCCGGCCTTCATAGGTGCTACTCGCTAAGAGCACTTGCTGCAACAGTCTGTTAAGGCTGTTTGGGGGACCTTTGTCTTTGTAGCATTGTGTAATTGCATAGCGTTGTGTAATTGCGTTGCGTTGTAACCCCTCCCCTCCCCGCTAGCGGCGCGCGCAGGGCCGTGGGCCCCACGTCCCAACTGGGCTCCGATTTCGTGCCGGGCTCCGCCGACCGCAGCAAACAGCGCGAGAAACACCAGCGCTACCAGGAGGAGCTGGAGGAGCAGGTGCGGTGCCGGGCGCGGTGCACGCGTTGACGCACGCTCGCTCGCCCGCTGCTACGGCGCTGCTCCGGCCGCCACTGGGCCACGCGCCGTGTCGCCCTCTTCCCTCTTCCGTGTGAAAATGAATCATCAAATACATGCAGCAGTGGTCAGCAGCAGAACTACCTTCAACACGGAGGCTTTCGCAACCAATCTTATCCACGATAGAGGTTTTAACTGGGTTAGATTGTGGGAATGTAAATGCGTCGTTGAAATTGGTAATGCTGTGGGTGTACTCTCCAACACACCGGTGTGCTGTGCCAGTAAAGAATTGGCACGTTTTGTTTACATGACAAACCTTGCTCATTGGCTGTGTCGAGTGGTGGCGGGTTTAACGACACATTTATATTCACGCGATCTAACCCAAAAAAAACTTTAATGGAGGACTACCTTTGCAAGTTTCACAAGGTCATATTCAGCTCATGAATACGATTACTTTCTACGTATGTGTATGTTGAACTTATTTTGCACCGTACTTAGCCAACCGCGTTAATCGCCGGTGTGGGGGAAGGTCAACAAACAAAACACAGGAAGCAGTTCTAAATAAATGAGTGTTCAATCGTAGCACAGCACGAGGCCGTCCGCCGAATGAACGTGGCTCATGGCCGCGCGGTGCCGGCTGCGCTGCAACGTAGCCTGTGACCCCGCACTGTGGAGGCAGCGAGGGTTGGTGGATCGCAGAAATGTTCCTGTAGGGCGGAGACGTGCCGTGCCCTGGCTCTCCTGGAGATGGCGGCACGGCAAAGGGCTGACGAGTATCGTTCCATCTCTACGGGGATAGAGCGTCGCCCCCCCCCTCACCCTCGTGGATTTTTTGCAGCTGCTCCGGTATCCTTCCAAACTACGTGCCGTCCTGGTCGCCGATCGTGCAGCACGGTGTGACGCAGTGGCATGAATGACGCGAGATACAATAAAAAAATATTACGTGGAGGATCGGTGGTGCAGTGTGGTTGGTGCCGTGCACTGCAAACTCAGTGAACATCAGTCCCAATTACCAGCCATGGTCAGCATCCATGGCAGTGGTATCCAAACCTATCCTGGGCCTCTCCGAGGTCCGAGTCAGCCTTAAATGTGTCACTGGTGTGGTGTGTGAACATCGGCGTTGGGGAGGTGGTGCGGTGCTGGCCACACCACCCCCTCGTGTGCTGTGCCAGCCTTCATAGGTGCTTGCTAACAGTACTCGCCACAACAGTCGGTTAAGCTTATATGGGGTATCTTTGTACGCATACATCTGTATGCGCCCGTGAATGGTTGTGTAGTGGTTAATGCGCCGCTCTATGAACCCAGCAACCCGAGTTTGATTACCTAGGTCGACTCAGCCTCAGATGAGTACCTGGTGCGGTGTGTAGTCAAACATCGTCACTTGGGAGACAAAGGCGACCTACTCTGGTTTGCTCTGCGGATGAATCAGTCGAGCGCCGTGCTCTATTTGTTTTTGCGTGAATCCCAGATGCACGTGCAGGACGTGCGGCGTCAGCGTCAGCGGGAGGAGCGCGAGCGCTACGAGTCACGCATCGAGGAGGAGGCGAGCGCGTTCAGCCCCTGGGGCAAGGGCGGGGGCGGTGCTCCTCTCCGCGACGCGGATGGGAACCTCATCAGTGAGACCGATCGCAGCGTGCACCCCCCGCCCCGGTCACGCACAGATAACCCCTCGTGGACACACGGACTGCCGGGGCGCCGTTAGCGAGCACCCGTTGAGGCTGCCACGGCACACGGGGGGTGGGCGGGGTGGTCTGGCTAAACACCACGCGCAGACGCCTAGGGGATGCCCAGGACCGGACTCAGATGTTCGTCGCCGATGTGGGCCGTGAGTGGGGATTGTACGTGTGCTGCTGAACTTCTTTCGCACCAGGCGTGGCTGCAGCCGCGCCAATCGGAAGGTGCGGGGGAATGACAACAAACCCAACCGCGGGTTTGTAGCACAGTGTCCTCACTCCTCCAAACGTACGCACGCTATTTGATATTAGTGCTTACGGCACTTGCCCCAAGGTCTTTGAAGGCTGTTTGGGGGATCTCTGCCCCTGTATGTGTGCACATGTGTCTGACCATGAATGGATGAATATATCTGCCCACGTCAACTTGGGACAGTGTCATCTCAGTCAGTCAACCCATAGCACCTGGGTCTTCCCTGTGACCTTCACACGTAATTGCCTCAAGCTGCACCTAGCCTGGCACGATCACTGTGGTGACTTCACCTGCCATGTATTGGTGAATGGCGGTTTTTACTGTTGTTATGTATGTAGCTATCTGTGTCTGTGTACATATGTCTATGTATGTAGATATCTGTGTCTGTGTACATATGTGTGAGTCCCGACGATAATCAGTGGCGAATATTTGAACTGATCCTGGGCATCCCCTAGGTCGACTCAGCTTTAAATGAGTGCCTGGCATGGTCTGTTTTTGTGCGCTAGCCGACCTCAAGCAGATGCACAAGCAGAATGAGGAGGCGTACAAGAACCCACACCACCGGCCGCGGGGAGACGCCCGTGCCGTCCTCTCCCTGGACCTCAACCTCGCCACGCCACGCGCAGACATGGGGGGGGGCGGCGACAGCCCCCACAAGTACCCAGGTGATGGGGGGGAGGCCGCGTATGCTTGAGCGTGCGTGTGTACGTGCGTGTGAGCTTGCGTGCGTGCGTGTGAGCGTGCGTGTGTGCATGCGAGCGTGTGTGCGTGTGTGCCTGTGAGCGTGCACGAAGTTTCAAGTCTTCTTAGCCATGGTCATTGCCTCCCTTCTCTACGCTTGCGAAACGTGGACCCCCCTAATGGAGCATCTTCGCCCATTGAAAATATTCAGGCTGGCCTGCCTACGATCCATCATGGGTTTAACCAGGCTGGATTGTGTGAGGAGCTCACAAATCCTTAAAGGATCTGGGCAAAGTCCCATCGGTGAGCTCTTCCGGCAGGCAAGGCTGCGTTGGGTGGGTCATGTAGCCCACATGCCCAGTCACCGCATGCCTAAACAGCTTTTGTTCTGCTGGATAGAGGGGGCTAAACGGGCGCGGCACGGGCTAGAGAAGAGATGGAGTGATGTGGTACAGGAGGATGTGGAGCTGAGTGGACTTGCCGATGACTGGTACCAGCGGTGTCAAGATCAGCCTCTGTGGAGGAGGCTCGTGAAGGACGCTGCTACTGGGCAGTTGGAGGCAGTCGCCCTCCAGCAACAACGGAGGATAGAAGAGGGACGCTCACAACAATGAGTAGATCACCGGGCAGCTGAAACGCAGAGAATTGGCACAGTCAGGGGCACAGGTGGTGCATCTGCCAGTCACCTCATGGCACCTGGGTCTGTCCCGTGACCTCCTGCCAGTGGCAGCGGGCCTAAAACACTTGACGCGGCCTCAAAGTGCACCTAGCATGGCACAAGCGCCGTCGTGACGTCCCCACCATTCAGTGGCGAACGGCGCATGTCATGGTCATCGCCGTCGTGCGCGCGCGCTCGGCGTGTCGTTGAGACCCCGTGCTGCACCCCCCCCCCACCCAGGCTTCGGCTACGCCTACCGGGGCGCCCTGCAGAACACGGGGCCCGTGACGGAGCAGCAGGCACGGGCGCAGGGCCTCTACAAGGACTTCCTGAAGCAGCAGGCGAGAGCTCCCCGGCACGCGTTCTCGAGACCGCCGCTCTCGCGCACCACGTGGCCCCATGGAGCGCGAGAGGGGCGCCACCCCTGCCCCCCCCCCACCTTGTCATGTCGATTGTGTTTCGTGTGCGCTCGTTGGAGAGCGACCCGGGGCTGAGACCGTCCAATCGCGTGCGGTGGCCAAATGTGAGGCCAGTATCTGAGTCGTGCCAGCTCGGTGATCTCACACTGCCAGTCCGAGGCCTCTTCCTCACCCAGAGGTGGCAGAGCAGCCGAGGTCAGAGCGCTACTGCAAAGTCTGATCTGGGTCACTTATCACGACCATCTCAGTGTGTCTCTGCATGTCTCTATGTATCTGCGTGTATCGACGTGTCTCTACTTGTCTCTGCGTGCCCCTGTGTGCTTGTGTGTGTCCCTGTGTGTTTGTGCGTGTCTCTGCATGTTTCTGCGTCTCTGTGTTTTTTTATGTCTATATCTCCCTGCGTGTCTCTTTTCGCGTCCCTGTGTGTCTGTGTTCCTCTATGTCTATGTGTCCCTGCGCGTCTCTGCGCGTCTCGGCGTGCAGATCGAGGAGAAGCGACGGCGCGAGGCCGAGGAGCGAGCTCGCACGCGAGCGGACGAGGAGCGTGAGGAGCGGCGGCTGCAGCAGCAACGCGAGAGCATCCGCGCCGAGTACGAGCACGAGCAGGCACGCCGCCAGCGCCAGGGCCTCGAGGTCAGCAACAACACAGATGCACACACGTAGCGGCGGCACACACGCAGCAGTGGCACACACGCAGCAGCAGCCGTGGCACAGACACGCACACGCAGCAGCAGCACACACGCAGCAGCAGCACACACGCATCAGCAGCACAGACGCAGAAGCACACACGCAGCATCGGCACACACGCAGCCGCAGCACACACGCAGCATGCAGCAGGACAGACACATTCGAAGCAGCACATGCGCAGCAGTGGCGCAAACGCAGCAGCAGTGCAGACGCAGGGTGCAGCCTCACAGACATGCACAGGCGCAGGGTGCAGTGGCAAGAACGCTGTGCACACCCCCACAGCGCAGAGTTGAACTCTGCAGCCTTCCCTCTATCTTACGTCTGAGGCACGTTCCATCGTTCAGTTTCCTTGGACGCTTCTATTTCCCTGCGTTCATCTTCCATCTTATCATCATCAACATCATTGACATTTCTGTTAACGATGAGCACGTTTGGAATTGTACGGTGCGAAAGAAGTTCGAGGAACTTGTGCATACCGAAACTCCTAGACCTCCCTCTCCTAAAGCTACAAAAACATCCCACTCTGTCTTTCATAAAAAAAACTACCTTGGTGGCTCCACGTAGCTTTATCGGTCTCCGATGTAACATTTCCCTGCCCCTCACGATGCGGGCAAAGGGGCGTAGCTATCCTCAGTGGTGGGCTGGGGGTTGACGGCAGAGAGAAGCGTGGGGGCAGTGCTAGCGGCCGAGTGGGCGTGGCCACGTCAAAGTGGGCCTGGCTGGTGGAGACTTCCCGGCTCGCCTCACCTTTGCCCTCTCTCCGCACCGCGCCGCCACCGCCCCGGAGCAGCACAGAGCCAAGAACGAGGAGGTGCTCAGGGAGGCGGAGGAGAAGCTGAGGAGGGAGAGCGAGGAGCGGAGGCTGCGCGACGACGCCGAGCGGAGGAAGCAGCGGGAGGAGTCTCCCCGGGCACGCGAGCAGGCACGCCGCCTCCTTCTCCCACCGCGGCGCTCGCGCCAGGATAGGTGCACCTTGAGGCCATGCTGAGCGCTGGTGGGAGGTTGCGTGGGACAGCCCCTGACACTTAAAAACTCTGAGTTGCGGCCACTACGTCTGCAAATTTGCGCGCGTTACAAATTGTACTATTATTATGTGGGCGCCACGGTGGCGAGATGCTAACGACCTCGCCTGGTGTGCAGGAGATTGCAGATTCGATCCAGACGAGTATGCGTGTTCTTTCTTCCCGGTTTTTTCTCTCCATATTTAGAGTCAACGTTACGTTTTTGGAGTATTTGGCTGTGATACATTTCCACATGGCAAGCCACCTCGTTGAGCCATCATTTGTGGCCAGGTCGATTCTGAAAAAGAGCTACAAAGCTCAGTGGGCCTTACCTGGTAAAATATAAAAAAAATGTTTAGTTTTGGTTTGCTGATCGGACGGACCGGCAGATACTACCACTCTGCATTGCTTGAGCATTTCCGCCGCTCAGCTCCAGGCACACAAAGATGGCTTGCGCACTGCCTGGGGTAGTTACTGTGTGTAGAGTTACTGTAGTTAGTGTAGCCAGCGTGAGTATGTTTATGGGTGTTCAAATATTTGGACCATTTGGCTCTTTCGTCCGTGCTGAGGTGCAAGTCTGGTCGACTAACTCATGGCTCAACAGCAGCCGTGAGAAACGACGAGTGACCAAGGCCACCTGGGGAGTGGTCACACTACCACAGGGAGGTGTCTAGGGGTCAAATCATAGAGAGGGGTCAGGATCGTCCCTCATGCCGCCGTTTGTCTGTGCAGCCGCGAGGGGGCCAGCGAGTAACCGACTCGCCCCCCGTGCCGGCGCTCATGAAGGAGCGGAGGCGCAGCGCGGAGAGGAGGGCCGCCACTCCCCCCGTACGTACCACGCACACACGCGCACACACCCACACACACACGCATGCACGCACGCACATGTACACGCACATGAACGCACACACACGCACCCGCACGCGTGGCTGGAATCACGGAGAAGAAGAATCGTGCAGATGCGTGGATTCTGTAAAGATTGCCAACGCGCGCTTGTCCCCAGAGTTAATTAGCAATGACAACGTGACACGTCGCGTGATGCGGGAGTGGTGTGGACAACACCTGGCCACTGTTGACGTTTTTAAGAAATGCAACAGGTACTTATTTTAGATAAGCGGGACTGTCGGCCATGGCCAGGATCGAACCCAGGTCAATGTGTTCGTAGCGGAGTGCGTTAACTCCTGCTCTCCCGCACCCTATACATGCATACAAACGTATACATACAAAGACACAGATCCCCTGTATAGCCTTTACACACCATTCAGGGCAAGGTTTGTTCACGATTTGTAGCGTGGCGCACTAACCGCTGCACTACCACTCCCCATAATATATACATGCAGGGACAAAGGCAAAGATCCCCATATCGCCTTTTGACAGACTGTTAGGGAAAGTGCTGCGAGCGAACAACTATGAAGGCCAAAATATCTGGACACGGTCCCATATATACATACAAAGGTCCGTGGCGCAGTGCGCTAATCACTGATGAGGAATGCCCGAACGACGATGGTGACTCCTTAGGGCCGAAAAATACCAAATTAAGTGACAAACCGAATTCTTCGTGTGTGCAATCATCGCTAGCCGGGCCCAGACAGACGACGAGCGATGCCGATTTGCCGCTGTGGCCTCTGAGTAGTGCCCTGAACTTAGCGCGCCTCCTCCCCCTCCCGTCGTCATCATCGTCGTCGTCGAGTCAGGGTTTGCCGTTGTCTCGTGCCGTTGCAGAAAGCTCTCAAGTACGAACGACCGGATACGGTGTCGAGCATCGGCTCTGCACGGAGGCATGTGATGAGGGGTAAGTGGTGACGCCAGGTGGACTCAACACGAACGTAGCAACGTCATTCGATTCGCGGATAATCAAGGCTCGTTTCATTTTATAGTCACGGACCGTACGGCGAGTTGTTTGTTGGCATCCTTCCCACGCAGCGTGTTGCATGTGGCAGGGTAAACAGGAGAGCCCAGAGACGTCGCCGTCGACCGAGCATCCCAATGCTGGGCCCCCGAATGCGAATAATCGACAGACAAGCCTCTTGACGAGATGCCTTCGGCGCGGTTCGACCGGGGCGGTGGAACGCGCCCGAGCGTCTAGCTCACCGCGCCGCTTTCACCCCCCCCCCGTCCGTCCGTCGTGCTGCACATGCAGATGGCGAGCAGGGCGCCCTCTCTGACCTCTCGCACCTGCGGCAGCAGCTGCGCAGCGAGCGCCAGCAGCTCGAGGGGGAGCTCCGCGCGGCCGGGAGGGCCTCGCCTGAAGACCGGCCCTCGCCGGCGCCGCGAAGGTGATGCCTCGCGCGGACCCCCCCCCCCGCGTCCGTGGGCACGCTGCGGCCCCTGAGGTCGTGCTCGGGACGGTCTGGCGATCCGAACGGTTTCTCCCGCCGGGGGCGAGGGGGGTGCGCTCGTACCGGGGTGATGCACGACCACACGGGAGGGTCATATGGCAGCAACCCGGCGAAGATGCCTGTCGGAGGCAGCTCTGCTCCCCGGCCATGTTGGGCAGGAGTCCGAACCCTCCAGGTCAGCTTCGGTTCCGCGGACTCGGCCCGATTTCCCCGCATCGGCGTTTGAGCCGGGCAGACCTATGCCGCCAAATACGTGACAGTCAAACGTAGCATTAAATTACTTAATTAACCCATTCCGAGACGTCTGCAAGTTGCAGGATGGGTGGTGTCCCTTTCACTGCTGAATTTCGGAACGGGCGAGCGGCTCAGCGTTCATTTTATTTAGAGACGCGTAGCGACGTTGTTTTTAAAGATATTGCACTCACCGCAGAGGACCGTAGCTACACGACCGCCACACTCCACGGCAGCTGGCGCCAAACTGTGCCATGCACCCTCCCACGTGGTCTTGTGGGAGCCTCAGTCTTCTGACCTGAACACCTACCGATAAAGTTATTTTAATTTAGTTTTACTTCTGATTCCGTTTTCGATCACGTACACGTACGGAATCGGAAGAAAAACTGATGTCGTACATGCATGTACATCATTGGAAATGAACATTAAACATGGATGATGTGCTCTCCTTTGTGGGTGCAGGTGTGGAGGGGTCTGGTGGTAAAATATCGATGGCGTGTCAATGGTGTATCGACGGCGTCTCTTTGGCGTGTCGATGACGTGTCAATGACGTGTAAATGGCGTGATGATGGCGTCTCTCTGACGTCTCTCTGACGTGTTGATGACGTGTTGACAGCGTGCCGATGACATCTCTATGACATGTCGACGGTGTGTGTCGATGGCGTCTCTTTGATGTGTCGATGATGTGTCGATGATGTGTCAATGGCATCTCTCTGACATGTTGATGACGTGTCGATGGCGTGTCGATGGCGTGTCGACGCGGTGTCGCTCGCGCCAGTGCAGGCGCCGTGAGAAGGAGAGGCCCCGCTCGGCCGTGCGTGTAATCATGCCGCCCACGCCCGTGGAGGAGCTCAACTTCCAGGCCCTGCGAGACTTTCACGACCTCAAGTACCGCGGTGAGGACGTGGACGCGGTGAGGGTGTGGACGCGGTGAGGGCGTGGACGCGCAGCTTCGCGCTCGCGGGGGATGTTCACGGTGGGCCGCGTTGTGGCGCCCCGGGGCGTAAACGAGTGCTGGATGCCGGGAATAACCCTAGCCCCAAGGCAACGACGTTTGAGCAGTTGGGGTTGAGGGCCAAGGTCAGGGGTTGGCCACTCCCTCGACGTTTACCGGAACGCCGCCTGGCTTGCCTCGGAGTGGGCGTCGTCAGGAATGAGGCACGAGGTATGCCGATCCATACTCATCCTATGTAAGCACGTACCACCGCACACGTGCCACCGCGCACGCCACCGCACGTGCAGCGTGTGGTTACGTTTGGAGGTTCAGGCAAAGTGAGATGCTTTGACAACATAACACCATGCTGGGGACAAACCGATGCTCCTGTTTTAGCACTGGGGAGACAAAGGCGGCCTGGTGTGACGTTCGCCACACCAACCACCCCCACCCCCGTGCTGTGTTATCCTTCACCGATGACAGGCACTCACTAACAGCACGGTTGGCTACGTACAGTGCGAAAGAAGTTCAACATACATACAAAATACATATGTGGGGGATTGTTGTCATGGTGTGTGTGGGGAGCGGTAGTTGAGCAGTTAGCGAGCTGCGCCATGCATCCGACGGACCGAGTTTGCTTCCCGCTCAAGACCAACACCAGCGAGGAATATCTGAACCGGTCCTGAACCTGACCTAGGTCGACTCAGCCTCAAATAAGTACGTGGTGCGGTCTGTGAACATTGCCACGAGGGAGACAAAGACGGCCGGGCCTGTCGCCGTGCCGGCACAGCATAGACGCCGGCCCGCTGACACCCACTTGCCCGGACAGTCTGTGAAGGCCACACGGGGGACCTTTGTCTGTGTGTGTGCGTGTGGCTCCTAGTGGACTCGCCGTCCCGTGCCGCCCTGCGCCGCCTTTTCCCCGAGCCGGCCACGGACGCCGCGGCGCTGGAGCTGCAGCAGACGACGCTACTGGGCGAGCAGCAGCGCAAGCTGCACGCGCTACACGCGCGGCTGCACGGTGTGCACGCACCCGCCCCCCCCCCCCCCCCCCGCGTGTGTGTGTGTGCCTGTTTGTGTGTTTGTGGGGAGCGGTAGTGTAGCGGTTAGCACGCTGCGCTATGAACCTGGCGACCCGGGTTCGATTCCGGCTCAAGGCCAACACCAGTGACGATTATCTGAACCGGTACTGGGCCTCCCCTAGGTCGACTCAGCCTGAAATGAGTACCTGGTGCGGTGTGTAAACATCGCTATTGGGGAGACAAAGGCGGTCGGGCGTGGTGCTGGCCACCCACCCCCTCGTGTACCGTTCCGGCCTTTATAGATGGTCGCCAACAGAACTTGCCCCAACAGTCTGTTAAGGCTAAATGGGGGATCTTTGTATTCGTCTGTGTGTCTCTATGTCTGTGTGTATCTCTGTGTGTCTCTGTGTGTCTATGTGTCTCTGTGTGTCTGTGTGTCTCTGTGTGTCTTTGTGTGTTTGTGTGTCTCTGTGTGTCTCTATTTATGTGCCTGTGTGTGTGTGTCTCTGTGTCCGTGTCTTTACGTGTGTCTGTGTGTGTGTCTCTGTATGCCCGTGTGTGTCTGTGGATTCCCCAGGCACGGGAGACTTGTTCCCAGCAGCTGCTGCCCCTTTTACCGTGAACGCGGTAGGGACCACACGGGCGCCTCTCTCAGCACAAACCTCCCCTCCACTCGCACGCAGGGCCTCGCTCGCCCGGCTCTGTAAACACCCACTGCTGCCGCACGGTCCACGCGGTCCTCTCCAGGAGCTCAGCACTCCACCCTCCTCTGGCGGCGCGGCATTCACTCCGTGTGTGATCCAGGAGGTTACGAGTTCAAATGCTGCCCAGGGTTCAGAATTATCTCTCCTGGGGCTATTGAAGCGGCAAGGCGCTTTGTTGAAACGCCGCTTTTTCGTCTGGAGGAGAGACTGGGTCCTTGCCATGGGATTGTGGAATTTCCACCATTGGCCTAGAGCTTTCAATGGCGATGAGTGCCACCCAATACCGATTGACGCTTTGGCTTGACTGTGGATGAATCACCCCCTGTGCTTGGGATGATAAATGTCAGCGAGCTCTCATTGATAGTTGATCCCGATATTAAAATATGCATGGGTCTTTGCATTCCGGACACGGTAGGCCAGTAGGTAGGGAGGCGGGGCCCGTGATCATGAAGTCATGAGTTCAAATCCTGGTTCAGGTGAACGGAAAGAACACAATCGATAGCATTTTCTTAGCGCAGCTGGGAAGCAACGCTGGCAGCCTAGTCCACGACCTGGAAACACCTGGCAGACCACATCCAGTATACTACGGGCAATGCGGCAAATATGCAGTGAGAGATTAACCCCTGAGCAGGGCTGTAAATGGGAAGAAATTACTGGGGGGAAACTCATCAATGATTCCCCCACCCCCCACTAGATCTGTGTGGGTCTTTGTGCGTCTCTGTGCGTGTCTGTGGGTGTATTTGTGCATTTGTCAGTCTCTGTGTGAATCGACCCGAGTTCGATTTACACTCACAGCCAACACCAGTGACGATTATCTGAACCGGTTCTGGGCCTCCCCTATGGCGACTCAAATGAGTACCTGGTGCGATGTGTAAACATTGCCACTCGGGAGACAAAGGCAAGCTGGGCGTGGTGCTGGTCACGCACCCCCTCGTGTGCTGTTCTATCCATCACAGGTGCTCGTTTACAGCACTTGCCCCAACAGTCTGTTAAGGCTATACACAGGATCTTTGTCTTCGTTCTTTGTGGGTCGTTATGCGTGCTTCTTGGGTCTATGTTACTCTTAGGGGCTCTATCTGTGAGTCAAATAAAAAAGAGATGAATCCTCAATTATTTTTGGAACGCGGTCACAGGGTTCAAATGTTCACTCCCACCACAGTGTTCTGGGGCATTCCGGCCCATTTCCACCGCTGCCCCTGAGTGCTGCTTTATGGGAAGGACGGTCCTCAGCATGGGAATGTGGAATTCCCACCCCTGGGAGCCACCAATGGCTTTAATCAAGGAGACGCCGTGACTTTGCTGTGTATTCTTCCCCTTGAAATTTGCGACCGCTGCTGATTGAAGCGCGGTTTGAAAAAAGTTCAACATGAGTCGAGTTGTCTCAGTTCTACACTCCCCCTGTCCCCGCAGGCTATTCACGCTCGTGTGCGTGTGTGCGTGTGTACGTGTGTGCGTGATTGCGTGTGCGCGTGATTGCGCGTGTGTGCGTGTGTGCGTGTGTACGTGTGTACGTGTGTGCGTGTGTGCGTGTGCGCGTGTGTACGTGTGCATGTGTACGTATGTGCGTGTGTGCGTGATTGCGCGTGTGTGCGTGTGTGCGTGTGTGCGTGATTGCGCGTGTGTGCGTGTGCATGTGTGCACGTGTGCGAACGGTAGTGGAGCGTTTACGCGCTGCTGCTACAAACCCCGTGACCTGAATTTGATTCCCGCTCCTGGCCAACACCAGTGACGATTATCTAAACCGGTCCTGGACCTCCCCTAGGTCAACTCAGCCTCAGATGAGTACCTGGTGGCAATCTGTGAACATCGCCACCGGAGAGACAAAGGCGGTCGGGCGTGGTGCCGGCCACCTATCCCCTCGTGTGCCGTGCCACCCTTCACAGGTGCTACTCGCTAGCAGCACTTGTCCCACGTGTCTGCGAAGGCTATCCGGGGTACCTTTTCTTTGTGTGTGTGTGCGCGAGCAGGCGGAGCGGCCACCATTCTCCCACCCCGGCCTCGAGCCCCGAGCCCCGTTTCTTGGTGAGTGGCGTCACCGCGAGGAGTAGCCGCCTACGAAGCGACATCAAAGGCTTCCGCCAATTTCGTCACTGGCAATTTTCGCGCACCTCGGGGAGGGCGGGAGGGAGGGGAAAAACAAAAAAACATTTGCAAGGGCGAAGAGGAAAAACATTCCTTTGGAAAGTTTTATTTTCACTTGGCGAATGGATTCGCACTCTCGTTATAACTCTTAAATGCTTCCACATTCGCCCGATGCGCGTGGTGTTGTTTTCCATGACCCCGGTGGAGACTCCCTCGGAGGTTCTCTCCGAGGTTCATGCTCACGTATTTCTAGAGGTGCCTTTTGGGGTAATGCAGGAGGCGCTCCGCAATAGGCGAGTTGTGACACTGACCCAGTGCTGGCCTGAAGCTGGGATCCGGGTTCGGATCCCAGCTTCAGGCCACGTTCGATTCAACCCGGCTTCTCACGTGCAACGAGTCGAGTGGTCGCGGCTCAGTCAGCTGGTGACTGCACGAAAAAATTAAACAAAATTCGGTCCCGAGGGCTTAAACGTGCACTTATTTTTTTACCGATTAGCGTGCGTAGAAACCACCGTTTGCCCAGCACGTCGGAGCGCCATCTGGTGGAGTGCGAGTGGGGCAATTGAAGTGACTCGGAAGTAGTTCTGTGGCGTCAACGTTCAGTGACTGCGGCGGGCCCAATACGTTCCTTCACAGTGCCATGTCATCGTGCAGCCTGCTGTCGGTTCTCTCGCTGGGGTGTTTGGCCAATAGCAGTTTCATTGTATGGGGCTTTTTTAGCTATGGGAAGATACAGGGGGGGGGGGGGGGGTGACCCAGAGGATATCCATGTGCAACAGGGGTTGAGAACATACGAAACTCCACTCGTAAAGGTGCCCGAGTCGGGAATTGAACCGAGGCCCTTCTTGCTCTGAGGCACTGCATCTGAGACGGAGGATAGGCACAAGTGGAGAGAGTTGGCAGCAGAAGCCATCGGCTGGTGCCCCCATGGGCACAGCGGTTGATGGGTGGCGGGAGGGGGTTGACACCTGGGTGAGATGGATGCACAGATCCTTATGCCGCACGGGAAATGCTACGCGGACCGCTGAGGCTAGAACGCTCTTCGTTCTGATATTAGGAAGCCACTGGGGCCATGCACTTTCAAAACTGAATTGAAAATGTAAAGACTGGTTACGCACTTGTTTATTCTTCAACCCACAGCCACACTCGTTCCTAAAACCAACCCCGAACACGCGTCCCACAGCCCCTTTTAAACCCACCATCTCTGCCCTCGTTCCCAATACACATCTCCGTCTCGCATGCTGAGTCCGTGTGACGTCAGTGCCTTTCCCTTGACCCCCGTCTAGTGTATTCCTGTGCGTGTGATTGGTGAGTGCGGAGATTTCATATCTGCGTGGTGCGAGCGCGAGGATGGCTCGCAGATCCCTTACACATACGAACATCCAGAGACCCACAGACACCCATACCCATAGAGCCGCCCCAGAGACCTATAGAGACACCTATAGAGACCCACAGCGACCCACAGAGACACCCATAGACCCATAGATACCCATAGATACCCATAGATTAGCGCGGTTGGCTACGTACGGTGCGAAATAAGTTCAACATACATACATACAGAGATCCACAGACACCCAGACCCATAGAGCCGCCCCAGAGACCTATAGAGACACCCATAGAGACCCACAGCGACCCACAGAGACACCCATAGAGACCTACAGAGACCCATAGATTAGCGCGGTTGGCTACGTACGATAAGAAAGAAGTTCAACATACATACATACAGAGATCCACAGACACCCAGACCCATAGAGCCCCCCCACAGACCTATAGAGACACCCATAGAGACCCACCGCGACCCACAGAGACACCCACAGAGACACCCATAGAGACCTACAGAGACCCATAGATTAGCGCGGTTGGCTATGTATGGTGCAAAAGAAGTTAAACATACATACGCACATACAGAGACCCACAGACACCTAGACCCAGAGCGCCCCCCCCAGAGACCTATAGAGACACCCATAGAGACCCACAGCGACCCACAAAGACACCCACAGAGACACCCATAGAGACCTACAGACACTCATAGATTAGCGCGGTTGTTATGTACGGTGCAAAAGAAGTTCAACATACATACGTACATACAGAGACCCACAGACACCCAGACCCAGAGCCCCCCCCCCCCCAGAGACCTATAGAGACACCCATAGAGACCCACAGCGACCCACAAAGACACCCACAGAGACACTCATAGAGACCTACAGAGACTCATAGATTAGCGCGGTTGTTATGTACGGTGCAAAAGAAGTTCAACATACATACGTACATACAGAGACCCGCATGCACCCAGACCCATATAGCCCCTCCAGAGACCTATAGAGACACCCATAGAGACCTACAGAGAACCATATATTATGAGGGTTGGCCACGTACACGAGGAAGCAGGGAACCCTCGTGTAGTAATCGCCGATGCTTGGCTTGCTGTGTGTTGGGCGTGTAGGCTCACTCGGTGACGACTTCATGATGGGCGACCTGGCGGACGTGCCCAGAGCACGCAGGGTGAGCTTTGTGGATCCCAGCAGCTCCCCGGTGAGATGTGTGACAAAAAGACAAAGATCCCTCAGTAAAGCCTTAACAGACTGTTGGGGCAAGTGTTGTTAGCGAGCACCTATGAAGGCCGGCACAGCACACGAGGGGGTGGGTGGCCAACACCATGGCCGGACGCCTTTGTCTGGAATTGAACTCGTGTCGCCGGGTTCGTAGCGCAGCGCGCTAACCGCTACACCACCACTCCCCATACGCACGCACACACACAAGCACTCAGTATCATCAGCAGCAGCCGTGATCTGTCGACTGCTGGATGAGGGCCTTCCGAAGTTGTTACCGCCCTAGGTGGCTGTGTTCGTAACGTAGTGCTACTTCTGTCGTTTGACAAACGACCTCCCATGTAGACACACTATTGGAGCGAGTGCCGTTAGTGAGCACCTATTAAGGGCTGTTATCATGAAGCACTGAAATTGCAATGCAGTTAATTGACCTGCACTGAACAGAGTGGACCGTGCGAAAGCTGCCATCTTCCACTCGTAAACATTTGTTATTTGTCTCGAGATGACAACTGCATACGATAGAAAGGTCTCCGTGGTAGCTCTTCATGAGATGAATGTCAGTAAAATGGTTACCGCCGTCTGTGTGATGGCCGATATAGTTTTTGAAGGAAAAAAACACGAATGTGATGAGAAACATCCAGGGGAAGTGAGGAAACGCGGCAAGTGCGTCGACGATGCACGCCATGATGTCCGCCTGTGGTGGACCCTGCCCATGTACCACGTGTGTAACGTGCGTGCGTAACGTGTGCGTGCATGCGTGTGTAACGTGTGTGTAACGTGTGTCCGTGCATGTGTAGTGTCTGCGTAACGTACACGCGTAACGCGCGTAACGTGCGTAACGCGTGTAACGTGCGTGAGTAACGTGCGTGCGTAACGTGTGTGTGTACTGTGTGCGTACCCAGCCCGGCACGCCCCCCACCGCCGGGTCGGCTCTCCGCCTGCTGCCCGACTCCTTTTCCCTGGGCTCCACCTCGTCGAGCCTCAACGTGGAGAGGATCCAAGCGCGCAACCACGAGCGGCTGCGACGTCTCCACGGGTGGGACAACGACGTGGCGGCGGGGCACGGTGAGCCCCCCACCCCCCCCTCCCCGCTGCACCCATGGGAGCCATCACTCGTGCGACACTCGCTACGAAATGAACGGAGCGCGGGAGTGGGTTCCGTAGAACTTTCCAGAACGGGAATCTTTATTTGGAGGAATCCGATGACCTCTGAAGCTCTTTTTTATCGCAGATGTCCAGAGGGGGCACGGGGTCAGAACGTTACAAACGACAAACACAATAGGAGTGCGAAGTTTTAGGAAAGGTAAACAAATCACTTGAGAAATATATATACACAAATAAAAGTCAACTATTTTTAATTTGACCTCAGATGTGCTTCACGAGAGGATCGCATCTGACCGCACGTGGTAGCGGCTGATCATCACGTGCAAATTAATATCGCAGGCAAATGCTCTAAAAGCGTGACGCTGATTCTAATTGTGGAGGGAAAAAAACGGAGGACCTGGAGAAAAATCCACACGACCACGGGGAGAGAGACACGCAAACTCCAAATATACAGCAGGCATCAGAGTCGGGATCAAACCCACGACCTCGTGTATACCAGGCGAGGTGGTTAAAATCTCGCCACCGTGGCGCCCGCAGCTCGTGCATCACGGAGATGGAGCAATTCAATAATGCATCTGTCCCCCTCTTTGTCCCCGTGACCCCACTAGGCGAGGCGTCACCCCTCTTCATCCCCGGGCGTCACCGTCCCGGATCCGCCATCTCCGCTGACTCCATCACCTCCGTTGCCACGGAGCCCTGGCTCAGGCCTGGCTCTCGGGGCAGCCTGCGCCTCGACTTGGGCGTTCTGTCGACTGGTGCTGGGGACTAGAGCTGCGCCATCCGGTCATTTAAGTAATTGGTCACTCACCCGATTACCGGTAACTCACCTGATTATAATTATCGGTCACTCACCCAATTATCGGTTGAATTAATCGACTCATCGGCTATAACACATGTGCCACTGGACGGGAGGTGATGGGCAGGGCTTGCTGACATCATCAGCTGTTGTGTCACGCTGGGCGTGGCTTGCAGGGGGTTTCCTGCCTTCAGAAGGCAGGATGTTTTGGCCGCCACGATTTTTAAAGGGGCCCCCAAGTAATCGATCACAAATCGAGCAGTCGATCACGATTTGTAGCCAAGTAATGGACTTGCAGTGAGTGGGTTCATTAACCCGTCTGTTCGGACTGGCGAGTGTTGTCTTCTTGCATGTGCATTGGTTTCCTCCGGATATTCAGGTTTCCTCCCGCACTAAAAAATACTTATTTTTAAGTAATTGAACTTTATGGCGGCACCCCAGGGTACCATATTACCCCGGCTCTTGCATAATGTCCGCGATGTAGTCATTTTTAGTCTGTTGATGGTCGGCGATGCGGCAATTGACTCATCTCGATGAGCTGTAGACGATGCACCACTATGGTGCATTCGAGCATTCAGGGTTTCAGCGCAAATCGTCCTCGCTGCGTTTCGACATTGCTGAGTAGCACTGATTTCGGATTCATTGGTACCCTAGTCGCGGAGTTAAGTACACCCCTCGACAAAATAGTGTCCCAGAAATAAAATATTTAATTTTGTATTATTTGGAAAACTGGGGTATCGCCATTAGGATCAATTGACCAAATCACCGAAATCAGGATCAGTACTGCAGTGGACATTGGGGTGAAGCTCTCTTGGAAGATAAACAGCTTCCATTTTCCACTTGGATTTAATTGTGTGCACCACAGTGTAAACTAAAACGAAACAATTTTTTTATATTACCAGGTAAGGGCCACTGAGCTAGGTAGCTTTCTTTCAGAAGCCACCTGGCCACAGATGATAGCCCAACGAAGTGGCTTATTACCTGGAGATTTATATAGCAGCCAAAGACTCTTACGCATGATGTTGATTCCAAATGTGGAGGGAAAAACCGGAGGACCCGGAAAAATAAATCTACACGACCAATGGGAAAACATGCAAAATCCAAATATACAACCAGCTTAAGCATCGGGATCGAACCCACAACGTCCTGTATACCAGGCGAGGTAGTTAACATCTCTACGGGGAGAGAGACACGCAAACTCCAAATATACAGCAGGCGTCAGGGTCGGGATCGAACCCACGACCTCCTGTATACCAGGCGAGGTAGTTAACATCTCCACGGGGAGAGAGACACGCAAACTCCAAATATACAGCAGGCGTCAGGGTCGGGATCGAACCCACGACCTCCTGTATACTAGGCAGAAGCATTGGGGGGGGGGGCGTGCCCCCCACAACCCCTACCCCCGACGGCAACTCACGTGGAGTGGGGCGGCCCCCCTCCGAACGCCCGTGAGGCCGTTTTAAGGACTCGCCCCATGGGCCGAGCGTCTGATCAGTGCCCCGAGATGGCCAAATCGACATTCAACCGCACATTCCTAATCATGGGTTCATCATGATTATTATTTTTACTACACACAATTCCGTGCCTTGTTGTTAGTGCGCTGCACCTGCTGCTTTGATCCGAGGACTTCAAAGCTGCCCCTGGGAGTCAGCTGCGGGGCTCGAGGGCTGAGGCTGGACCCGCCGCTGCGAGGGTTGACACGAGAACTCCCTTATTAACGCCGCTCAAGTCACACGCTGCCGCTGCTGCGCGCACACGCCCCCCTCTCTCTCTCGCTTGGAAACAAACAGCCCCAGCATCAGAAGCAGCAGCAGCAGCCTCTTGTAAATTTCTGAGCACAGGCACAAAAGCTCAGGGTGCCACGTGCCATCTCAGACCATGGTCAGTCCACCGCTGGAGGAGAAGGCCTACAACAAAATCCGGCGCGACCTCTCGCGGTCCCGCGATGTCAAAATTTACCCGGCACCTGCGCACAAACGGGGTTCATTGCTCTTCGGGGTGTAACAATAGAGAGGGAAGGCTTAAGAAGATAAGTGACTTGCGAGACGAGACGACGGGAGAGAACCCGAAAGGGGAGTGGTGACAGGGAAGAAGCAGAAATGGAAGTGGTGTTGCCTGCAGTGTGGTGAGTGGGTGAGTGGGGTGAATGGGTGAGTGAGTGGTTGGGTGAGTGAGTGGTTGGGTGAGTGGAGTGAGTGGGTGGATGGGTGAGTGAGTGGGCGATTGAGTGCGTTAGTGGGTGAGTGATTGAGTGAGTGGGTGCGTGGGTGTGTGGGTGGGTGTGTGGGTGAGTGAGTGGGTGGGTGAGTGAGTGATTGGTTGGGTGGATGAGTGAGTGGGTGGGTGAGTGGATGGGTGGCTGGGTGAGTGGATGGGTGGGTGGGTTATTGGGTGGGTGGGTGAGTGAGTGGGTGGGTGAGCGGATAGGTGATTGAGTGGGTGCGTAGGGTGATTGGGTGGGTGGGTGAGCGAGTGGGTGGGTGGGTTTTGTGGACGAGTGAGTGAGTGGGTGGGTGAGTGGGTGGGTGGGTGAGTGATTGTAGTTGAACACAGTGCGAATGAGAGGAAACAACCTCTGGCAGACCGAGTCCGCAACATGGGTAGATGAATCAACGAGTGAAGTTGGACGGGAAACAGAAACCACGGTGGTTCAAGTCGATGTTGCTTCACCAGTCGAGAACTCGAGAGACCAGGAAAGTCTCATTTGCAAGTGAGACCTGATAGGTAACAGTGATAAAAGAGTGACGAGAAGGCGACTGACGGATCATCGACTGCGCCGACTGCTCGGACACTGGAATGGCGTTGCTAAAGCTCCCGTGCAGCCCCATGTGTTACTTATTTTAATGGCCGCAGTGGGGTGATGGGGAACCGTGGCCACTTTGTGGGAGTGAATTGTCTGCTGAGGAACTGGCCAGTGCCATTGCAATGTGAAATTTCCACCACGGGGTTCATGGTCGCCATTGGTGCTGTGCACTGCTCCACGTTCATTTGAGTGTAAGGAAGGCACTTCCACTTGACAATTATTGTTAAACACTGTGAGTATAATACGTGTTGTAGTTATGTATTCTGAAGGTTTGTTCTCTTTATTATTTTGACATTTATAATTTCATCAGCTCATTATAAATCCGCATGAACATTTTTGCACATCGATGTTAAACGTCGAATTATGACGACGATGTGGAATCATGGTATTATTCGTGTTTATTGTGAAATCATCGTATTATCAATCCTTTTACTAGATTCGATATTAAATCACCAAATCGTGTTTCGTTACCGGATGTCGATGACTTGTGTTTTGTCCGTTTGCGATCTCACAGCGTGCAGGGACTGGATGGGTGATTTGTGTCTTTACGTTGAGGCTCTGATTATGTCAGGGCTTGTGTCATGTATGTGTGTATGTTGTATTTATTTTGCACCGTACGTAGCCAACCGTGCTAATCTGAGGTGTGGGGGATAATAGAAAACTAAACATAAGCAGTTCTAAAGAAATTAGTTTCGATGTAAATTTAAAAGAGCATAGCGCCAGTGACTTCCTAATATCGGAAGGAAGAGCGTTCCAGACGGCCACAGTAGCGCATCTGAAAGCGCGCGATGCGGTGACCATCTTTGTTCAATGGCCAGCCAAAATCTGCTGCTGCTGTGAGGATGACCGGAGTTCACGTGGTGATTGATGCTCCTTGACGAGATCAGCGAGGTATTGTGGTTCATTTCCGGCAAGCACTTTGTGTGTCAATCTAGATTTAAGCTTTCGTGACTGCAGGAATCCATACTCTTTGGTTCTTTCGGTAAAGTCACTTAGGTAGAAAAATAAAATAAATGATGACGTTTCGATTGCAACACAAGCAATCATCATCAGGTGGGAAAACCACAGCAAGAATTTTTTTTGCTGAAGTGGGAAAGAGAGCTGCCTCTCTCTCCCACTTCAGCAAATGTTTATAGAGTCTTATGCAAATTGAATACCATTTTCCGCGAGCAACAGAGTGGATTGTACTTGGTCAATTGGTTCATCATTAGGTGGCAGCCTTTTTCTCTTCGCCTGCCTATTTCCCGCCTCTCTCCGCAACATGAACGTGCTCACTGCTTTTGTTTTTCTCGACAGCCACTTGAGATGTGGTCGCGTCGAGACGTCAGCTCTGTAAACCCGCAGAGTTCTCTATCTTCATTTGTGTGTAAAAAAACAACAACACGAAACACGTCCCACACTCAAGAGGTGTCACTCTGCAGAGGAAGGTCGCGAGTTCATATCCAGGTCAGGGGTTTACTTTGCCGATCATCATCATCATCATACCTCCAGGGTCAATAACTCAGTACTACTTTATGGGGAGACAACAGTGGTTGTCCTATGAGTAGGCTGGCTCCCACCATGATAATGTGAAATTCCCAATGGTAGCGCAGGACTTTCAGTGGGGAGGAGCACCACTCTATCTACGCTTGTATGTATGCTGGACTTCTTTCACACCGTAACGATGGCGCGAGTGCACGACTCTTGCCTTGAGCTTTGCAATAGCGGAATGTTGAGCAGAATTTCCAGGGCGCAATCATCATCAGGGGAATGAGAGGCTCATTACCTCGTTATCACGCAACACCCGGGAGGTCAGGCTTTGTTCAAAATTGCTTTACACTTTGTAGGTTTAGGGTTACACACTCGTTAGGTCATTGGCATGCGGCGGCTTTAAGGGGCTCTGACCTAGGATTTTGGACATCCGTGGTGGCGCAGATGAGCCTCCAGTAGAGGCAATGTGGCACCACAGACACTGGGACAGAAGTCGCTGCTGCTGCTGTTCAGTGTTCCAACGCGCACCGCAACCATGGCGGTGCCGCAGTAGGTCATTAGGAAGAGGAGGTTGCGATGGGTGGGACGCGTGTTGCGGGGTGGAAGGAGGGCAGGTAATGGAGTGAGGCGTTCGGTTGCCACCCAGAGGTTGGCGTTGGTGGCGGTGCTGGGTAGTGTACCGGTGAGCGCGGTGAGCAACGGACCCGGCGATTCCCGCTCACGGCCAACACCAGTGACAATGATTTGAACCGGTCCTGGGCCTCCCCTATGTCGACTAAGCCTCAAATGAGTACCTGGTGCGGTGTGTAAACATCGTCATTGCGGAGACATTCCGCCGGGCGTGGTGCTGGCCACCCACACCCTCGCGTGCCGTGCTGGCCTTCATAGGTGCTCGCTAACAGCACTTGCCCCAACAGTCTGTGAAGGCTATAGGGGGATCTTTGTCTTTGGCGCTTGCTAATAGCACTCGCCCCGACAGTCTGTTATAGACTATACGTGGGGGGGGGGGGGAGTATCCTTGTCGGCGGCGGTGGTATTGGTGAGACTGTGAGAGTGGGCGCTTTCAGGCAGGGCGGGCGACCGCGACAGCCGAGCTGTGGAGAGAAGCGAGGCAGCGGTGGCGAGATTTCAGGTGTGGTTTTGGGGGGGGGGGGGCATCGACTGCGCCGGGCCGTGGTAGAGCCGGGCTCCCGGTTCGAGCGGCGGCGGTGGCTTTGAGAGCAGAGGAGGGAACATTTCCGCGCAGGATTGACTCTCGGCGACTTGCACCTGCGAAACCCTGTTTTTTTTTATCGGCCCTCTCGGCCAAAACAAGCGACGATTTGCGAGATTATTGAACCGTTTCCCTTTTATTCATAATTTTAAATTGCCCGTGCCCTTTGACACAGCCGGAGAACGGCACCAAAGGACGGCTCACGGTGAGGATAACAACCATGAGCTGATTGGTGGAAATTCCACATTCCTATAGCGGTGGGGGGGGGGGGGGCAGTATCCCCCATAGGACAATCGCTGTCGATTTGCTACAAATTTGGTGCTCGTTTGATTCGTCCCAACTGGATGAGCTACCCCCCTCCACCACCGCCTGCCCCCCAAACTGGGATTTGAATTCACGACCTTACGAATCGCTCTCCTAACCACAGCACCCACCTGGTTGAGGCCAAACTATTTATTTATGCCGCGCCCGAAATAAGTCTTCAATCATACGATTTGTGCCACATTATGAATTCTGTTTAACACGACGCTCTGGGTCATGAGCCCCAAGACTCCAGAACGGAGTTTTATTTTATTTTTTGGCCCCTGCCCTGGCAACAGCTGTGAGTAATTTATGAGCCGCAGTCCTCCTGAGTGCTGTGAACGTTTTTTGTTGTTGCTGCTGCTGCTAAAATTGAACTTTCATTTGATTTTTGTAACTGAAGAGTGGGGAAATAAGTGGCTTAAAAAAAGCTAATCCCGTGTAATTAAATCGTTACTTTCCATCACAACATGTTTTTAAAATGTATATTTAAAGTCAGTTTCCTTGGTCAAAAAAGAACACGGAGTGGAGCTATTCACCTCATCATAAGCAACGGTGGTCAATTTGCTGCTGGATGAAGTATCCGGGTACATTTTAAACTTACTGGTGAAGACATTCCTAAGAAAGTGTGATGTATTTTCTCCAAATCCTATCCAAATGTGGTTATGGCTGATGTTTAAGCACAGCAGCGGCTGTGATTCTACTTTGAGGTGAGATCACTGCGTCAAGAGTAGCAGAGTGGTGAATCGTCGCTGTGCGATGATGCCTCCTCCGCTTTTGTGAATTGGGCATTGAGAGTCGTTATCTTCATGTGCAGTGTACCGAATCAAAAGGTTCACATACTTTTCCACACGTGGTTATTGAATGTAGAATCATGAGGATAATTACATGTTGAAGGAACATAACATTTTTAGCCATTTGTTTAATCAGGTGACCATTATCTATTATTAAGATCGAATAATATGTCACGTTTGAAATATGTTAAATATGTGAAAATCCTAAGGGGTTCACAAACTTTTTCTCGGCACCCCCGCCCGTCGTCTTCCCGGGGCCTGTCACCGGAGCCCGGGACTCCGGGGTCACTGCCGAAGCCTCCTCCCCGCCGTCTTCATCCTCCAATCGTCCCGTCGCTGGGTTCTTGCGCTCCGCTCCCGATGTAAACATGGTGGCGGCAGTGCAGATACTCTGACACCAGTTGTAGAGAAGTTCCCACGGACGCACTCGGAGACGGAGATAAGTTAAGGGCTTTCGCCAGGGTTTATTAAAGCTTATCAATAATACACAAGGGTACACAACTCCCAGGGGCTAGGGGGGTCCTACTCTGAGTCCGGGTCCCTGCCGGCTAGCTCCGGTCTCTCTCTCTCGTGTCGGATCGTGGACTCTGCCGACTCCACCGACCGGAGAGAGAAGTACCTCTACGGCTACCGCCGGCTTCTCCCCAGACTCCCTATTCGATCCCTCTCTCTACCCCTGGTTCC